CTGAATAAAAAACTTTCCAACAGTGTGGCAACCATTCAGCCATTATGAGGGCATAGTAGGAAGTAATGGCAAACTGTGCTCCATAATAGGGTATATAAGAAAAGAAGAAACCACTGCGGGTTAACGGTTGATGAAAAAGCGTCAGACGGGCGGATTTTCACCTGTAGGGAATACTCCTTACAGTCGGGGTTGAAGAGGTGGGCCATGGGCTATCTGAGTGGTCGTCAATCATCTGTAGAATTTCGAGGTCAAACATCGAAACTCAGAAAGAGTAAATAAGAGATTCCGCAGGGCGGTATCCACTCCTCACTGCAGCTTAACTTTTATATCTATCGATGTTGAATTATATATGCCGATGATTGTTTAATATTTTCCACTTCTTCATTGCAAGACAATTAAGACTATAAACAGCAAAATCCGCGGCGACACTCTTCACCAGCTAAACGAAGCAGTATAGGCTGGAACTTGATGTGAAAGTCCATGGCGTTAAAAAAATGCAACTATAAATCCACTAAAGCTTTTGGATTATCGAGCTTGCACTCCTTCAATGCTACTGTGATTGCCACCTGAGGAAATTTTCCGGCTAGTCGTAAACTAGCGAGATGCGTTTGAAGAAGCTACAGGCCTGTCAACACACCGCCCTTAGGACCGCGACAGGAAACATTTTGATATGGTCTGAGCATCACTTGCTCAGCGAATCATCTAAGCTACGAGTTAAGGCGTATAATACTTTACCCTGTGAGTAATTTCTGCTGGAATGTTATCCTACTGACATCTCGGAAAAGCCCTTACTAGAATCTGAACCACCATCCAGGCACACCAGAATGGGAGTTCGTGGCCTAAAGGATTGCATTCAGCTGCAAACGTGGGACAGGCATTAAATGCTATTAACTGAGAGTTCAGCAACACCTTCCTGAGCTCGCTTCCACAGTGTGGCGTTTTCCGAGTCAAACCACCACCTATTGCAGATCAAGAGCTCGACCTCCTCGAGAGTTCCGCGTTATACTGGCACTATTTAGAACTGAATATTGTAGTTTAATAATTAAACTCCTACTTAACCTTGCTAGCAATGAGTTCCTGAACGAAACTTACCACCTCTTTGCCTACCCCCTAAAATTAATTTATCTAACCCCTCATTTTTCTTTGGTCCGAACCTGTGAAAAAGCCCATTTCCTGTACCTCTCAATAGATGATCTTGATGACTTAGTCTGATCTGATCTATTGTTGTTGTTGCTGTTGTAGCGGTTCGCTAACCCCGCTTAGGCACAGGTTTGATCAGTCTAAGTCGCTGAATTCATCTAGTGGGAGGTCCAGAGGGACCAGGGGGAGACGGGGGTTAGATGAGTTGGTTTGAGTGGGCATGTGAAAAGGTGGTTAGCGTCGTGCAGAGACTCTCTACATGCAGGGCATACGTTGGGTATGCTGGGGTCTAGTCTGGATAAGTAGGAGTTTAACCTGCTACAATATCCAGACCTAAGTTGTGTCAGGGTGACTTTCACGACAGTCGGTTCTACGCACCGGAGTTGACCCGGATTTTACACGGCCAAGGGCTGTCACCCTTTCGGCGGCCTAACCCCGTTTAGGTCAACAGATAACATTAGTGATCTGATCTATTCCTAAGCGGTGCTGGCAAACTGCTACAGCAACAACAACAACTATAGAGGACAGTTGGGCCTTTACATCGAAACGATGCGGGTGTTTAACTGGTCCAGAACTATCACTCCCACAAAATACTCCTACTGGATAGTACTTTTGTGGCTTGAACAACAACAACGGGCACCTAAAATCCATCTAACTCGCACAGGATACGGATTTGCTAATAAGTAGCGTACCAGTATTGAACTAGAATTTTACAAGCTATTTTATCATAGTTTTTTACTGGAGGTGTATATTTCAATAAATCTACATATTTACATTCGTTGGCACCAACAGACAGCTGCCATTTTAGGGTAGTTAGGTTGAACACCCTCAACAGCGCCGTCGCTGACTCAACGGGTGTGCTGCTTTGCTAATTAATTAATAATAATGTTCCTATTGAGTGCCATTCAAGCATTTTATATGGTTTTATTTCACTTCAGACACCCCTGCTTAGCGTCAGCATACGAAACGTATGCTTAAAGAAGAGAAGTTGAAATAAGTTTTATTATATAAACTTTGAGCACAGCAGAAGTTTTGCCTATATAAATATGTGCATTCGTCTGCATGCGGGAACTGGAGTTTTGGGTTAGAAGCAAAGGAAGTTCACTTAAAGAACGGACGCTTTTTTGGAAATAAATAGTTTATAGGAATAAAAAAACATTTGTTGTTCGTTCGGTGGAAATTACCTTGTCAGGCTTACAGATTGATATAGACAAAATAATTTACTGTTTTTTGTTTATAAATAAATGCAGAAAGATCGCTTTCACTGATAGTTGTGGTGGCATGAAATATTTTCGTTTATATTATATAATAATATACAATACAATTATTGTCTATATGTAAAGAATGAAGACGTACACACGCGTAAGTAAATTTACAAGCATTTAGATACTAGATATAACATGATTATGAACGTTTCATATTTTTTTTTATTTTTTTTTATTCACTCACTCACTCTAAGCAAATCATTGAGCACACTTTTTGTAATTTTTACTATAAACAATTATTTACTATCTTACAAATTACAGACCCGCACACAAAGCACGCCAATTAACACTAATACATATATTTGAATATACATATATGTATGTAATTACTGTCTATCAGTTCAATATATCAAAGAAAATAAAACGATTAATGCTCACATACCAAAAATGAAAGGACATTTTTTCACAGAAGTCAATAAGGCACCTAAGCGATATATGATTGTGACATGACAGAGTATTTACCAACCGAAAAGAATACATATAAATATACATATGCATTTGAAGGACATAATTTTCTATAATTAAGTACGTGATGTCTGCTTTTAGCGTTTGTAATAGTTGGGAGCAGTAAAAGAAAAATATCGTGGCTCATTAAGCATTTCTACACGTGCCTTTGAAGCCTTGAAAGAGTGCGCTTTATATATATGTATATGTGCATATAAATACACGGATATGTTAAGCGTATATATATACATTTGTACGTACTAAAATCTTTATATCTAGAATAATTGAATATTCTCCTAAAATCACCGTTTCGCAATAGCAACAAAGAAAAAGTTTTAATGGATTTCTTGTTGTTGTTGTTGTATCCGCAAAAATAAAATAAGGTAGTTTTTGGGGACTATTGCGGGATTTCTAATCGTTAACGGTGTGACGAACAGATTGTCGCAAAAACTTTTCGATTATAGTTGTCTCTTACGTCAGACATGGCTTATCGCAGGAAAATTCTTGAAACTCAGCCCCATAGGGTTATGACTTCCTGGTCAAACTTTCAATTTCATATTTCCTGCATGAAATGATGTGGTACCTCGGCAGAGCCACTTTCATGAATTCACCCAAAACTATTCGGAGCAATTTGTGCTGTGCTGTTATAACAATTACTGCTTCACATGCTTTGATATATTATATAAATATATATGTGTGCATTCATTCATATCCTCAATACACTAAAATACATATACATGTATTCATTAAAATAGTATTTCATACAATTGTTTGTTTCTAATTGCGTGCCCACAATTGCATGTCAACTAAAGTTTGGTTAAGTAGGATTAAAAAAAAAAAAAAATTAAAAATGAAGGATATTTTAAAATGATATTCTTATGTATATTTTGTCCGTTTGCGTGTTTTAGAGCCACAACCTGCCCAAGTTATTATGCTTGTCATTAAAATAAAATTGTTTGCTTGCTTTTAGGCGCAACCATACTTTTGACCATTACCTGCCATGGCAGCGCGGTGTATAAACAAGGGTATGATGGATTCGTGCCGGCTTTTTGTTATTACCATTTCACACGAAGCTTAAACAAATTATTTAGAAAAAAAATTTTTGCAATTTTTGCAAGTGAGGCAGGTCACAAACGGGTCAATGCCACATTTTTACAGCGTATGAAAAATATGCCAAAAATATCTAGTTGCCAAAATTTAGTTGTCCTTAACTGCGCCTTAAAAACAGTATTTTTCTAAACGTACTACTATTTTACAGAGTGGAATCTGCAGTTAACGAATGAAGTGATGTCACAACTAAATTTTCAAATTGTCTACGGCACGTGAGCTAATCGAGTGCAAAGGCTTCACTGTAAAATGTTTTTTGCGCCACGTTGTTGCTCTTTCGAACAGGAATTCTACAATAAAAACGTTATTAATATAAATACATATGCGTTTGTAACTAAATTAATAATTAATGCATTCACCAATAAGAAAATAATGTAATCCAATCAGATTCATTTTGGGTGTTTGTCAAATTTGGGGTGGGAGGCCAAAGACGAAATCAAAACAAACAGTGAAAATTCACCATTCTGCTCTATGAATTTTGACATTTGCGGCAGCATTACGCTTAAGAACCCTCAATCCACCATAGCAGCGCGATGTGGTGTCAGCTGTTTGATGACAGTCACATGACAGCTTTGGGTCGATAAATTTTTCGCTCACGGGTTCACTCAATGCATGAAAAAGTACATTTTCAAAATGGTTTTTTAACAAATTTTGCAATATGTTTGCATTTTTCTTTATGCTACATGCATTTATCAAGCATCTGCCATCGCTTCATACACCTTCTAAGCAGAAAGAGCACCAATAGTCAATGAACATAAGATCCTGCCAATTCTTGCATGAATTTTATGTGACCAACGAAAGAAGTCATGTTTTAACCTTCAATACAATGTCGCATATGCATTCGTACACTTTAACGAATTTGCATTAAACACAGCCATTTAATTATGCCTTAATTGTAATTCTAGTTAATACAGCCATGAATTTGCAGACAACCAACAGGGAAGACCGTGAAAATTACTTTTTCCACACAAACATTTGTTGCTCCCTCTATTTTTCCATTCCACACTCACACACACTCATCTGACTTTGGCACGGGGCACTTACATTTTTTTCTTTACGTGTTTTTTCGTTTCTTGAACGGAGCTGCGGAATCTCACTTCAACTGCAAGGGAATTTTGCAAAAAAAAAAACTAACCGAAATTTTGTGCGATTCGATGGTGCAAAGAATTTGCGTTGGAAACTTTTCACTTACAATTTTCTATTGCCCAAAAATCAATCGACAACGAACGACGACGGCAACTACACGACGGCCACAGCGACGGCGAGAAGACAGACTGTGCGGAAACTCAACACAACGAATGTGCGTGTAAAACGGAATTAATGCTAGCACAAAAAGGAATGTACAAAAATTCACGTGATAACATTCGCAGGCAAAATTTTTTGATAATTTGACGTTTGACACTTTGAGGCGCACTGTAAATGTGGTTTGAGAACTAGACGAATGTATGAGCGCCAATGTTCTGAAAGGGCAAGACCGAATGATTTATGAAAATTGAAGGGCAACGGATGTATTGAGCTCAATCAATAAAGCGGAAGTTAAAATAATTTAAAAAATTGTTTTATTTTCGTTACGTACAGTAAATATTAAGTATAAATCCGGCAGGCACAAAATATGGGAGTCTGCTGAAAGTATTTATTATTTAAAGTATAGTGTATATGTGTATAAGTATAAGTCGCTGTAGGCGTTACACGGCGTTTTGAACAGAACGTGTTAAGCTGTCGATGATTTTTTATTTTTTCTGTACACATCAAATGTACATCCATATAAACACTTATGTACGTACATATACTGATCCCCATTGAGATATATTATTTTTATTCCACAATTCAAAGTGTCTACATACATAAGTGCATGCATGTAAACATAGCCTCAATAAATTACACTAATTTGCCATTTGCTGTTATGAAGTTCCTGCAGTTGCGCAAAAAAAAAGATCGCTTGATAAATGCATCGGCAACATGAAAGATAATTACATTTTTTCTGCAATAGATTGCAAATAGTAAATATTGCTAATAAATATGGCACACCACGTAGTATGTCTCATACATATGTACATAAATAAACAAAAAGCATGCTCAGCAAGTATTACATACCGTGGCTTGTACTGTACTGTATATTACGGCGTAAAGATTATAAATATTATATATGTCATATTTAATTATTTATTCTTTTATAATAATAATATTTTTAGTTTTGTAAATGTGTCAATATATTTAATCACTTGTATTTCCAGCTTGTTCCATTAATAATTTTAAGCTCTTTAAAATTAAAAAAAAGATAATGGTAACATTTGTTAATTTTATGTTTTATATATGTATATATTTTTTTTAATAAAAATTGCTTCATACTACTTGATTTAATTTAATTTGTAAATGACTGTAAAATATAATTTTTAATTTTATTTTATTGTTTATTTATTTTTTAGCAGTCTTCTTTGCAAACATACAAACTCTATTTCATTTTCGATTCAAATTTTATATTGAACAATGAGATACGAATAACTCTATTGACAATAAAGATTTATTTGCAATTATCGATTAAGATCCATTCAAACACTCAGCTCACTAAAAGCACATTGCATACATACATACATACATATGCATGTAGGTTTAAATGTTTTTAATTGATTTGTTACATTGCCGCTTTGAAAATTGTAGTGGAAATAGCGAGTTTGGCACCTGCATGTACATACATACATCTACCTATATCTACCTGCACACGTGAAAACCCCAGGCATGCAGTTCATACATATATATATATATATATACATATATGCACATTAAACTGTCAACATGCCCTTCTTTGTTTATGTTCTACATGTCAAAATAAAAGCATGTTTCAGTTACCGTTAAATAAATTAAAAATGCAAATTCAACCATTTCGACTAACACCACACTCGTAAAACCAGTATAACCTGACAGATCAGCAATTGTGATCATCGCGCAATTACAAAAATACACAGGGAAAAAAACAAAACAAAAGCTACAAAAATCCAAAACCAATGAAATAAAAAAAGGAACAAAAAAAAAATAAATCCAAATACAAACAATACCCATTGCAGCGCACTAGTTACTGCTTGCTAGCAGAGTGGCAGTATGGCACCACATTTCCTCAGCCAGTCATCGTTGCACGGATAGGGGGTCGGTCTACAGTACTTCATTTCGCTATCGCCATCACAGCCGGTTGTCATTTGCATTTGGATTAGCGATTAGTTTTAAAACTGCGAAAGTGCGGGTGCCAGTGGAGTAGTGGAGTTTATTAAAGGGAAGAACAAAGAAAAAAAACAAAAATATACAGCAAATTTCCAATTTATATGAAAATAAACTATAAACTACACGCAGTGCACTAAATATACTTTTGCAGCGTTGGCAAAAATTGATACAACAACAAAGTGTAAAGTGTACAATAAACATAAAAAGGCAGCAACAAATAAACGCAAACGCAAACGCAAAGACAGCAGCAAAACCACCAAATCATATTTATGTGCGCACAAAGTAAAAGCAAACGCTGAGACAGTCCACACAAAAACAACAACCAGCATGTGTGTAATTGTTTATTGACTAAGCGGCTGTCGAACCGCAAAAAACATTAGTTGAATACGCGTTTAGGTTAGGGCTGCAGCCCTAAATTGCGGGGGAGGTACATACGTACATAAATATAGCAAATTTATACATATGTACAAATGTATGTATGCTGATACAACTGCTTATCAACCAACAGACGTCCCGGCCTGAGCGTGCTGCGTTCCCTTACAAGCATACATATCATTTTATATACATATATACAGATGCATAATTCCCGTGCTCGAACTGCGCCGTCTTCATACTCCCAGCGCGATATCGTTTACGCTTGCAGTTGAAGAACAATTTATGTGTATTCGTTGTATGTTTGTATGTGAATATAAAAACACTAAAGCGGGCGAGCATACGTTGCATATACATATGTATGTATGTTTGTAAACAGACTGTCGATCACACGTCCGTAGTGTATAGATGTACATACATATTGATATCTGTGTATATAAGTATGTGCCAATTTTAATTAAAAAAGCTTGAGGAGCACTTCTGAAAAGGCACAAATCAGCAAATTAGTCAAAAAATAAAAAAAAGCAAATACGACGACTAACCAACGGTCTAATACACACTGTACCGTTGAAAAGAAAGCAAGCAGCGAAAAAGAGCACAACATAACGTTGAAGTTCAAGTCGGGATCTCTACTTAAACTGATAAGAATGTGCTCACAATCAATTGTGCTGTAGCAAGCGGCCGCCACAACGTTAAGTGGCTATTGTTATTTATATCGTTGTTGTTGTTGCTGTAGTACAAGCGTATATGTATACAGAAATGTATGCAGGCAAATAAGTACTTCGTGTGTAGCTTGCCGCCAACAGCATTTTGTTTCAGTTTGAAATTAGAATTGGGACGTCAGTCAACTCTTCCTACGTCGCTGCTAGTATACCAACAGGCAGGGGCTGGCAATAAGATCGCAAAACCCCACCACCACCATCATCACCTTCTATTACATAGTAGACAACAGGAAAAAAAAAACAAATTCAACTTATCTAGTAATTGAAAAGCATATATAAATCGCTTATACCCATCAACAGGAGACATCATTAATTGTTCATCGCTTACAAAGTGCAAGCAGACGGCGCATGAACGTTGCGCGAAAGTCAGGAACAGTACGTCATTATATACATATACTCGTATGTAACTAAGAAAAGTGCAAGTGAAGATTTTTTTTGTTTTTTTTTTTTTCTTTCAGAGGAAAGAAATCAGAGAAACCCCATCCAAAATGTTCTACAATATCCTTTTTCTACTGCTGGTGTCTTATCGCGCCACGCAGGCGTTAGAAAATGGCTTGGCACGTACACCACCCATGGGTTGGATGCATTGGGAACGCTATCGCTGTATTACAGATTGCAAAAATTATCCAAATGAGTGTATAAGGTGTGTATATGTGTGAGTGTGTGTGCCTTTGTAATGGCATTAAGAGGAAAGAGCTACACACAGGCGAGCGCACAAAAGCTTTGCTTTTACCCAAAGTTCAGCGTAAACACAGAGATTTGCTGGTTATTGAACTTATAGAAATCGATTAATTTAATTTTAAAATAATTAATTATAAATCAGAGTATTTTTGTGAAAGAGAAACAGTTTTTTTTTTCTTAACCGAGTGAAGTGCATGTGAGTGATGGTTTTTTTTGTATTTTTAAAACCTGTTACTACTATTACTAAATTTGTTTTTGGAAATTTGATTAGCACGAAAGAATTTTTTCTTTTTATTCTGTAATATTAATATTATGTGGTAGTTAATTTATTTAGTAAACAAATTAATATTATAAGACTAATGTTTTGGACCGCATATATATGCATTGGTTTACGATATGTGGATACTTCGCGTCACGTGAATAGTGGTACTTCTTATAAATAAAAAATCCGCATAAATAACAAATTCTTTATATTCGAAAAATATGTGATATTTCTTCATTAAAAAATGAGAATTTGGACTAAAATAATACATTTTTCTAGCAACAAAATTAAATATGAAGCAATGTAAACTTTTGTTATAGAGAATTTTTTTTTATTATAAGTCTCAAAGTCTAAAAAAAATTAAATAAAAATATATGCAAAAATGTAACAGTGTCTACTTGGCAAAAAACAAAAGCAAATGAAATAAATTTCCATTTTCCAGAACTTATTTATACAAACATAAATATTTAGTGAGAAGAAGAGAATTTATTGTAACTAGTTTTGTTTAAAATAATTAAAATTTGTAAACTAAATTAAATTGAAACTAAACTTGTTTAATTGAATTGTTTTGGTGTTTATCTAAAAAATTTTTTTTTTATTTATTTCAATTTAATTTTATTTTATTCAATTTATTTTGTTTTGCTTTATTTTTTTATTTCATTTAATAATTTTTTTAATATATTCAATTCCTTTGCTTTGTTTTATTATATTGTATATTGTTTTAATTTTTTTACTTAATTTTCGCCTATTTTTATTTAATTTTTATTTTTATTTATTTGAATTTAATTAAAATTATTTTTAATTAATTTTTTTTTATTTGTCATTTAATTTGATTTCAATTTATTTTCTTACTTTAATTAATTTCTTATTTATTTTAAACTTTTTTAATATAATATAATTTTTTTTTTATTATAAATTACTAAATTTTATTTTGTTTTATATATTTCAATTTAACTCAATTTATTTTAATTTAATTTAATTTATTTATTACTTTTTTTTTGCTTCCCATTAGTTTTATTTATATTATTAAAAATTTTTATATTAGTTTATTATATTTTATTTGGTTCAGCTTATTGTATTTAGCTAAATTTAACTTAAATTTTTATGTTGTTTATTTGTCAGTTTAACTTATTTTATATTAATATTATTTGATTTAAAATTATATTATATTGCTTAATTTTAAATTATTATATTTTATTGCATATAACTTTTATTTTATCTTATTTTATTTTAACTTAATTTTATTTTAGTTTATATTACATACATTTTTTTTTTATTTTAGTATACTTTATTTCTTTTTTTGTTTATTTATTTTAATTTTATTTTCATTCAATTTAATTTTTAAATTGAATTTCTTTTTATATAATTTTATTTTACTTTGTTTTAATTTTATTTCATTTTTACATTTAATTTTATTTTTTGTTATATTATTGAATTCTATGTTATTATAATATTTTAATTATATTTTAATAATTTTATTTTTTGGAATGTTTTGATTTAATTTTACATTCTCTTTTATTTTTATTTATGTTTTTTAAATTCTTTATTTTATTGTATTTTATGTATTTTGATTTATTTTAGTTTATTTTATATTAAAAAAATTTTTTTATGTTATCTTGCTTAATTTAATTTAACTAAATTTTTTCTAATTAAATTAAATTAAATTAATTAAGATAAAATAAAAAAGAAATAATTTAATATAAAAAAAACTAAAATAATGTAACTTAACGTCATTTTATTTTATTTTACTTAGTCTTACTTTATTTCATTTTGCTTGATTGCATTTTATTTTATATTATTATTTTCAATTTATTTAATTCTTCTTCATTGGCTTCGGCACCACTTAAGCGATTATAGTCGAATTTAATATAATACTATTTCATTTAAAAATATTTTTTTATTTTTAATTTGTTTATAATTTTAATATTTTCTTTTTTTTTGTAGTTTTCATTGCTTTTGGTTTACTTAATTATTTAACATTATCCCTTCCAGCGAAAACCTTTTCAAACGCACGACTGATTTGCTGGTATCGGAGGGTTATGCTGCTGCCGGCTATGAATATGTCATCATCGATGACTGTTGGTTGGAGAAATCTCGCGATAACGTTACAAACAAACTGGTCGAGGATAGATATCGTTTCCCCAGTGGACTCAATCATTTGGCTGATTATGTACGAAACAGATTTCATTTTGGAATTCTTCACACATTCTGCGGAAAAATAATTTCCAATCCATTTCCATTACAGATTCATAATTCCGGCTTGAAATTCGGTCTATATCAGGATTACGGCACACACACTTGCGCTGGCTATCCAGGTGTTATCAATCACATGGCGCTCGATGCACAGACCTTCGCAGAATGGGACGTCGACTATGTCAAGTTGGATGGCTGCTATGCGGACACTGCTACCATGGATGCGGGTTACCCGGAATTTGGTCGTTTACTCAACAAAACTGGACGTCCCATGATATACTCATGCAGTTGGCCTGTCTACCAAGAATATGAAGGAAAAATTGTAAGCCAAAGCTGCATAAATAAAGACTTCTTTGTTACTCTTCTTTTTAATTTTAAAATTATTTATTTCATTTTTACGGCAGCCCGACTACGAAGCGCTCAAGCAGCATTGCAATTTGTGGCGTAATTATGATGACATTGACGACTCATTTGAGTCTGTCGCTAAGATCATGGATTATTTTTCGAAAAATCAAGATCGCATACAGCCACATGGCGGACCGGGCCATTGGAATGATCCGGATATGGTACATACATATGTGCAAAGATTTATTAAATTATATTTTTATTTAATTTTTTATTTTTATTCGCCTACCAGTTGATACTTGGTAATTATGGCTTGAGCTATGATCAGAGCAAATTGCAAATGGCTGTTTGGGCTATTTTGGCAGCGCCATTGATCATGTCAAATGATTTGGCTACAGTGCGACCGGAAATTAAAGCGATATTGCAAAATCGGTGAGTTGCAATGCAATTTCAATTTCTTAATTAATTATTTAATGTTTTTTATTTTTATTTTTACCAGTGACGTCATTGCCGTTAATCAAGATCCTCTCGGCATACAGGGCCGTCGTATTTTGATACAAAAGAATATTGAAGTCTGGGCGCGTCCAATAATGCCAAGAAACGCTGCTGGGTATGTGTTTTATTGAAAAAAAAAAATATGTTTAAGTAGTAAAATAAAATTAATTTTTTTGTTTTTATTTCAAAGTGATTACTCATACGCAGTGGCATTTGTTAGTCGCCGCACGGATGGCGCTCCTTATCCGATAAGTTTTAATTTAAAGGAAATTGGCTTACGCAGCCAACGTGGCTATGATGTTTTTGTAAGTGAAATATATTAAACTTAAATAATAAGCTTAAAAATATTTTGATTTAATTTGAAAAACTAACCACAACTTTTTTTTCTTTTCCAGAATCTTTATGATAAAACAGAGCAGTTGGGATTGTACAAAAGTTTGGACTCATTCTACACGCGTATTATTCCAAATGGTAAACAGAAAAAGTCACTTAGTATTTTATATATATATATATATATATATTTTTGCTTACATAAATTTATTTAGATAGTATAATTTTCAGTTTATTTTTTAAAGCAGAAATTAATTTTTATTATTCTCTTGCTATTTCAGGCGTGAATTTCTATAAATTTACGGTTTTAGGTTCACCGAATCGCTATTAAATGTGGATTAAAATAAAATTATGCTGAAGAGAAAAACGACAACAATTGATTTGTCTTATAACATTGAATTTTTTTACATCATGTGATGAAAAAACTAAGAATAAAATAAAACACATAATATATAAATATACTTAAAAAAAAACTCAATAAATGTTTACATGTTTTACTAATAATTCTTATGTATTTGTAGTTTTTTAATTTTCTTAAATATTTTTTGTTTTAAAATCTTATATAAAATTATTATAACTTACATAGATTTTGATAAACTCTGGCGACAAAATCCAGATCATATCTCAACGCAGTATAGAAATATTCATTATTCTTGTTAGGCTAACACGTCTCACAAAAATTACGATGTAACATAAAATCACCTCAAAATAATAGCAACTGTAAAAAAATTTGCCGAAAGCTCCACATAAATCTCTAAAAAAAATGCATCACATCGCAATTCTACCATCATATGACATCACATCATTTCACAAAAGGCACATTATAGCATGAGATCACACTCTGTCGTTTCACTAACTTTTTAGTAAATGAAAATTATGCAAACTGTTATACAAGCAAAAGTCGATATAAACAAAGTAAATCGCAATAGTCACATCAGACGACATCACATCATATCATAATATCCCTTCATAGCAATCACATCATACAGCTTTATTATTTTTTTTTGTAGGGTTTCAATAATCAAAAAAAAAAAATTAGATAAATTTTTAGAAATAACTATAAGCACTCCACACCGAAATATTTACATTTTATATCATTTCACATCACGTCCAATTAAAGTGCATCGAACGCATCATAACGCCAAAACTCCCAACTGAAAATATCACATTTCCTCAAAAATATCATATTGTAATATAACCTCAATCTTATCGCTTCATGCCTATCACATCATTCTTTTTTTAATATAACGGCTTTCAGCAATCACAAAAACATATCACATCGCAGTTTTGGCAGCATATGACATCACAACGGCAAAGAGGTGACATAATCAAAAAATCATATCATTTCATATCAGAACATATTAAGACTTATAATGCGCATCTCATGCATTATAACGCCAAAATTCACAGCTGAAATAATAGGTCCCCTCATAAATATCACATCATATCGTAACATCACCTCAAAGTTATTATTGTACTTCATGCCTACCATACTTTTTATTACTTTTTATGTCGGTTTCAATTAATTTAACTTAGGCCTTTGGAAATCACCAAAAACCTATCATACATACAGAAATGACATCACATCAACATACATTTAGTAACAGCTTATCATAGTCACGTCATCCTATCAATTTTCTTATTTTCTTTTGACCATCATAAAAAAGACGGCACATCAATATGTTAAAAAAAATCATATGATTTCCTATCATATCACAATAGTCATATTAAATCCTACTCACGTCACATGACACATTTCTTTGCATCGCGCTGTCCACATCACATCATAATACTAGTATCGCCTCACATAAAACATATCACATCACTTTGCTCCGTGATAAAAATCTGAAAAAATATCACTACCTTTGTTGTAACGGCAAAGGGAAGCAAAAAGAGTTTCAAGCGACGTTTCAGATCACAGCATGTAAGAAAATCCGGAAAGTTTTCATATATAAATTTTATAATTCATAAACCACAACAAATTATAATGACGATTATTAAAGTTTTTTCAATATAAACGTCATATGAATAAAATACGGAAATTTGTTGTATGACAGTAAAACTATTTTCACGCTGCTCAATGTGATGATCGGATTAAAATTATTGTGTGTACATACATACATATATTCTTAAAATAGAAATGAAGAAGATTTACACTTCGAATTAACAATTCATCAAGCATTTAATCGTACTAGTACGAGTATACATACATACACACATACTGCGGCGCTGTACGTTGCACTGAGTTATTTATTTAAGCGAGCTTGTGTGTTTACTTAAATTACATTAGGTAACTTGAATGATATAATGTAAACACGATGTGTTGATTCCATGCAGCATTATGCAAATTTAGTCTCATTTCTACAAATAATTTTCTGTTTAATTCATGAAGAAAGTGAATTTCATAAATAAATCAATAAATTTAATTTACAAATAAATAAAAAAAAATACAGGAATAAATAAAAAAAAAAAACAAAATACACGAATAAATAAAATTCATTGATAAATATATAAATGAACAAATAAAATTAATAAATAAAAATATAATAAATAAATAAATAAAAAAGATTGAGATTGATAAATAAATAAATTAAATACAATAATTAAATTAAACAATAATTTAGGAAATATGATTAAGTGAAAAATAAATAAAAATAAATATAACTAATAAAATAAATAAATAAATAAATAAATGAAAAAATAAAATTACTTGATGAATAAAAAAATAAATAAATAAATAAATAAATAAAATAACTTGACCAATAAATAAAAATTTAAATAAATGAAGAAATAAAATTAAATAAAAGGTTAAATTAATTGATAAATAAATAAGTAATGAAATAAAATTAATTGTTAAATAAAACAATGAGTTGATCAATGAACAATAAAATTAATAAATAAAATTATAATAAATTAATAAATAAATAAAAAAATGAAATTCATAAATAGACAAATAAAATTAAATAATAAATAAATAAATTAAATTAAACAATAAATAAATAAATTAAATTAATTGATAAATAGACTCCTTTTACATTTACCCGGTTTGCTTCGATTTGTAGCATAATTGAGACAATATTATCTACTCTTAGTTCTCCAACTATGTTTTCAAGTCTGATTCTCGCGTCTTGCAGCGAGTTCATTGAAAAATTGTATGCTCGGCGTCATTCTCGTCAGTATCGTTATATATATACATGACGGATCTTCAGCTTTCCCTATTTTATGGAAGTATTTCCTGAAGTATCCGTGACCAGACAGCATCTGGGTAATGTAGTAGTCTGCTTCACCGAATTTCCTAGTTGTCCATATTCTGACGTCTGCTATTAATCTGGCCGTCTATCGGCCATGATGTCCTTCTTCCCATCGGGCTTGCCACTGGATCAGGTCCTCTCTATTTGTATTGACAGTGCACCCTTGGTTTTTTTTTAATGGTAAAATTAATTCAGAAATAAATAAATAAATAAATAAAATTTATTGATAAAAAAAAAATTAATTAAACAAATAAAATTTATTGATAAACAAACAAAAAAAACGATATTTACACTGCGCGTCATGTAGAAATTTTCACAAGTGTCATGAATATGAATAGCATTACTTTCAATCATTGATGTCTTGGTGAGTCTTTAGGAAAAAAAATGGAAATCACTTTGTAGTTGAACATAAATGTCCTTTGATTAAATAAACAGCCGTTTAATATATTTTTCCATATTTTTATTTTTATTAAACTATTATTATTTCGAACAGTTCCTTGGTTGCTACGTTTCACTTAACATCTCATCAACTTATAACAACTAAATAAAAATTCATTTAATTTAAGCAGTATACTTATACAAAAACAATGTGTGTCAGAAAGTCATATGCTTTTTGCTCTTCTCATACATGCATGCCTATATTAGCTTTAATTTTTTTAACGGGTTCATGTAAGGTTGTTAAATTAAAAGTTGTTATATATGTATACCTAGTCATTCATATGCCATTACGCAGATACAAAATTTCTTTTTATTTTTATTTATAATATAATTTATTAATTATTATATATATATATATTTTACAAATGTTTTGCTTTCATTCCTTATTTAATTTATAAACTTTTTGATAGTTAGCAGCAGTTATTTGTGGTTCGATACAATTAATCATTATATTGTACATATGTATATACCTACATGTTATAGATAAGAATATATATTCATTGAATAAAATCGTTTTAAGTTTGAATTTAGTTGGATTAGCTCAAATATCGTAATCGATTTCTATCTTATCGTATAATTTATATACATATATATATAAATGTTCATATATAAAAGTAGGTATAAAATTTCCAAATTTTGATTTATGTATTTATATGGTGTTGTTGTTATTTATTTGCACATTTCATAAATTAAACAACTACGGGTAGCAAAAATATGATTTTGATTAATGGTTTATACAGACATACAAAATTCTTTTATTTTTTTATTTATATACGATTATACTAAACACCGCATGAAAATGAGGGTTAAGTTGGTGTATAACGGTGTTTTTGGCTAAGCTTCAAACAACTAGCCTTACCTATAGGGATTTCACATAGAAAGTTTTTTTTTATATTTTATGCTTTATGCACTTGTATATATACTCATATATTTTACATACATATTTATATTTACATACATTTAAAGCTACTTGGCTTTTGACATAAGACATTCATACGCGCTGCAAAGCGTTTAGCACAAATTTAGTGCAAATTTATAACTTATTTTTTTTTTTTAAATTTTTTTTATAATAATAAATTTATAAAGTATTTAAGCTACATTCTGTAGGGTGGTTTAAAACATAATAATGAAAAGTTTAATATTTTTTTTAATATCAAAATTTGTTTTATGCATGCATTCGCATATTTATGTATGTATTATAAGTATGTGTGTTTACATTGAAGCATAGGGATGTATGTATATATGTACATAAGTTAATAACAAAGCAAACTTCAATATTTGCAATCAAGTAATAAGGTACAAGGTAGAGAGCTGCGTGAGTTTGTATGCGCGCTGCACGCGTAAATTGTTGCCTCCAAGCTTGGCTCACGAAAATTGGCTTCAAGTATATTTATTTTATGTTATGTACAAGTGCGCCGAACCGTAACTCGGCCTCTAACGGGTTGTTTTTTTTTTATGTAATAATATTTTCCCATATTTTTCATACTTTTATTATCAATTAAGCCATTTTCAGTTTGCAGCATTTAGTTGTTGTAATTATTTATTGCATTTGCACTCATATATACACACATTTTAGCTACCTAGTATACATATAAATAAAGCCTATTGTATTACTGTAATTAAATTATTATTGTCAAGTGTTTTTTTTTTAGTTTTTTGTTTGCTTCTTGAAATTTGCATATAAAATTAAATACAATTTAACTGCGTGGGCGGCGCACCAATCTGACTGTATGTATGTGTGTGAAATAAATTGCTGAAAGAAAAAAAAAATTATAATAAAAAAATTAATTTTCAATTTAAAATCCTCAAGCAAACTCACCTTACTTAAAACTAAGTTAAAGCACTGCACATGACGTGCATACATATACCGCTATAGCACCATAAAAACCAATTACTATCGGTATGCGTCCACAACCTCTCTCACACAAACACACACACACACCCTTCCCCCAAAGTCCACCAAGCCCCGCATCTGCACCTCCGTTCGTCTGCATGCATCGTCTGCTCATTAACTATTAATGCACACCATTCGCAATAGTCGGTTTGCGTTCGTAACTACGCCTGTGCATATCATCGACGTCTTTGAGGTAATATGTGCCGGGTAATAGCGCACTCACACTGCCGCTGGGCGTATACGGCGCCGCATGATTGTTTTTCTCGCGCACCTCCATCAGTTGCGAGAACACCACAGGTGCCACTTTCTCACGCGCACTCAATGCGGGCAAGACATAATCCAATTTGGATACGAATTGCTGGAAGACTTTATCATCCTTTGTCACTAGTATGGAATACATGGTGGCAGCCAAACCGGAGCCATAGGAGAAGACACCAATGCGTTTGCCCACCAGACTTTCAGCCGGATTATTGGCCAACAATGAAGCGAGTCCGCTGTACACAGACGCCGTGTACATATTGCCCACCTGATTGGCAATTAAGAGTGATTTTTGAGTTTTCGTTTCGAAGACATTAGCAAATTGTGTCATAAACGCCTTCTCGACGTCACGATCAAAGTAGGTGTCTTCTAGTTTGACTTCGTTGAAACGCTCCAAGCCGGGATATTTCGCGGGACGTTTCTCAACGCTGCAATTCAAGAAATCATTGAAGACCACGCGTCCAACTGACTTTTGCACCAATTTGCAGAAGGGCGTGTGAAAAACGAGCGCATGAAAGTTATCCAATGTGACTTCTGGTTCATTTGGATATTTTTTCGCATACTTCATACGATAACGGCGATAGCAAATGTCCAATGCCGAGAGATAACACTGTATCGACAGCTTACCATCCACTACGGGATACTCTGAACTCAAATTTGGCTTATAGAAATCATAAGCATGCTCCATGTGTGTCGCGCGTAGGCCACGCTCGAAAACGAGCGGTGCATTTGGTCCTATCAGCATAGCAACGGCGCCGGCGCCACCTGTCGGTCGTGCTGGACCCTTTGCGTACACAGCAATATCAGCGCAAACGGCTAACGCGTAACGACCATCCCAACTGGACGATTCAATCCAATTGATGGAGTTGAACAGCGCAGCGGTGCCGCCATAGCAGGCGTTCGTTGTATCCAGTCCCTCGATATCTGTGTTGCCCGACTCGGCGAATAGTTGCATTAACACCGATTTAACGGATTTCGATTTATCAACTATGGTTTCGGTGCCAACTTCTAAGCGTCCGATATCTTGTGGTTTGATTTGCCAACGCTCCAACAGGCGGCTCACCACAGTCAGGCACAACGAATTGACATCTTCACGATCCGAGCAGAAACCCATTTTGCCCTGACCCAAACCGAGTGTATATTTACCAGCTGAGACGCCATCGAATTGTTCCAACTCCGTTTGATCCACATACTGTGAGGGAAAGATCACCTCCATGGCGCGTATACCAACATTTTCGGGCCACATTTGTGCAGCAGGCGTGTTAAGGACGTACAAGCTCAAAAGTAGTAAGCAAAATTGTGTTGTGGTTGTTTTTGGGTTTTAGATGACAGTTGACTGCTGGCAGGTGTAGTGCTGGGATGTAAGTTAGACTGCAAATGAAATGAAATTAACTATTAATAACGGTATTTATAATGTAGTATTTATGTCAGAGCGGAGCAAAATTTGACATGCATATTTTTGCTCGGCTCAAAATAGTTTATTAATTCGTTTTGGACACGGTTCATGCAATACCAAAGTGAGAAGAATTCGAGCTTCACCACACGCCTTTCTAATTAATTTCTATTGCTCTCTACGAGTGTGAAGGGCGCGGATTACACACCAACGGAGGGTGGGGGGGAAAAGGAGAAGCAGAATTTTCTTATATAAACGCTCGAAAATGTATTTATGTATATGTAAGCAGCTGTGGTGAAGCCCCCTTTGGACGCAGATTCACTGTCAATTGGATTTTGTCCGATCGGTGATGGGCTCATCCAAGAAAGAACAAAGCTCAGAAAGGGTTTTTTCTTATATCACAATGGTTATTTCCTCAGGATCTGGTACATGGTTAAAGCTCTTTGATGGTGGATCGGGTTGTTATTTCGATATTCAAAGAAATTTTGTATTTTTTGAGATAATTGATCGGATTTTAGAACTTGAAGTACTTTCAACTTATTCACTTCTTAAAACACGTCTTTCGCAGAGATTTATGCTATCTTAAATGTACTTACAAGTTCCGGGAGGCATATCTTCCCTCAATGAGTACTACACCGTTGCCGCTTAACATGAAGAAAAGTGCTACCGAGAGCCATCGTATTTTACTGGACGTTTATAGGGACCAAGCTTTAGCCGAACGATCGTGCCAAAAGTGGTTTGCACGGTTTAAAAGTGCCAATTTCGACTTAGACGATGGACAGCCAAAATATTTTTAAGACGAAGAATTGGCGACATTGCTCGACGCAGATGCATGCCAGACGCAAGAAGAACTTGCAAAAGTATTAGGAGTTGATTAAGCAACCGTTTCCAGACGATTAAGTCATTACGACTCCACAGAAGCTTGAAAATTGAGTGCCTTATGAATTAAAGACAAGAGACGTCGATTCTGCATGTCGGAAATGTTGCTTCAACGCCACCAAAATAAGTCATTTTTGCATCGGATTGTCACTAGCGATGAAAAATTTGTTTATTATGATAACCCAAAGCGCAAGAGATCGAATGTGAAGCCCGGCCAACCATTGACATCCATAGCAAAGCCAAATATCCATGGTGACAAGGTTATGATGTGTAATCGGTGGGACCACAAGGGTGTGCTCTATTATGAGCTATTGAAATCGGGTCAGACGATCGATGGGACCCCTTCCGAAAAAAATCGATTCGTTTGAAAAACGACCAGAATATGAGACCAGACACGTATCAATAATTTTTCATTATGACAACGCTTTACCACATGTTGCAAGGCCAGTTAAAACTATTTGGAAAACTGTAGGTGGGAAGTTCTACCTAAACCATCTGAGAAAGCCCAGATATAGCATCTTCCGATTACCACTTGTTCAGATCAATGCAGGATGCCCTCACCGGAGTACAGTACAGGGTATCAGAAATTGGCTCGATTCTTTCTTGACCTCAAAGCCGGAGAAGTTCTTTTGGGATGGCATCCACAAACTGCCAGAAATATGGGCAAACATCGTAGGTTCCGATGGGTCTTAACTTTCGAGCAAAAAACCGCATCGAAATCTGATGATCACATATTATACGTAGATCTAATACAAACGATTTTTTTTAGATATAAGAATTAATATTTAATTACAAAAAAATGAATTTGATATGATCATAAAAGACATAGTCGAAGACACCACTTCTTCTTGTTATTGTTGCATTTTAAATTATTTAAAATTTGTTAAAAAAATTACTTTGAAAACGCAATATTTTTGAATGTTCACATAAAAAAATTCCTTAAGAAATCTGTAAATTAAAAAAATTATAATAATTAATTGAAAAAATTTAAAAATATTAGAAAAAGACATAAAATAAAATAATGTATGGTATGCAATATTCAAAAAAAAAATTAAAAAAAAGTTTTTAAATATTTAAAAAAAAAAAACAACAAAAAAAATAAAAAAAAAAATTAAAAAATTATTAAAAAAAAATAAAAAAATAAAAATTAAAAAATTAAAAAAAAAAATAAATAAAAAAATATATTCATTAAAAGCACTAAAATCATCTTGAAGCTAGTGTCAATTAATATCGCATTGACAAGCCCAAAATATGAAGGTTAAGGTATGCATCTTGAAAGCGTGTTAACAATTTGAAATCACAAACAATTCACAAGTGTACGAAAACTAGTTTTCTTTTGTTGTTGTACATTTTTGCTTTTTGTAAGCTGGTGGTCATTACCTATATACCTACTTACTTACGAACAAATATTTGACACACGCACAACTTTCACCTGTTTGCACGTTAAATTCTTTCAACAATTTTACACACACACACACACACAAGCACAAAATACACCGATAAATTAGTTAACAACACAAGTCGCTGTCAGCGTCAAAGCGTGGTTTATTGTTTGCATAAAAAAAAAAATAATAATAAAAAAGAAACACACACCTGAGTTTATGGGGAAAAACCAAAATTTCAAAAGTCTTTAAGGAATAATTTTGTAAATACAACTTGCACATACAACAGTCGAACGTGTAATGTGCACAAAAAGAGATTTGAAAAATTGAAGAGCCAGCCACGAGACCACGAGACAGACAAACAGTGGTCATTTAAATCAAAACACTGTAATTCCGTCAACAGAGCGAAGGCGATGAGCAAAAAAAAAAAAAATATTGAAAAAAGAAGAGCCAAAATAAAAGTCGTCACATTTAACGGTCGGTCAATTGTGGTTAGTGTTGTTGTTGAGAAAGACCAAAAAAAAAAAAAAAAATAAACTCCAATATAGCAACTGAAATATGAATGAATAAAGGTTTATGTGAGAAAATAGATACAAGAAAAATTAAATAAAAATCGAAAAAAAATCGAGTTGAGAGATTTATACATATTTACATATGTATGTAATATGTGTTGAAATGCATTTATTTTATATAAACAAAAACGTTTGTCTACTACATTTCAAAATATGTACAAATGGTACAAATAAATATGGAGCAGAAAAGAGCCAACTGCTAAATCAGTAAAATATATCTCTTTTGGAGTATAAATTAATGAATTAATTAAGATTTTACTCAAAAAACTTGATTGCTTTCTCAATTATCAAATATCGAATTTTCATTATATGCATATATAATATATGTATATTTAATTTTTAAATAAAAAAATTTTCAATATACGTACATATGTATGTATGTATATACTCACATACTCACATAAACATATATACGTGTATATTTCTTAATTAATTCACAATATGCTAAAAGCTTGTAAGTTTAAAATACATTTCTTACAAGCGCTTACCCAGCAATAAAACAAAGTAGTCCCCTTGTAATGATATTTAGGAGTGGTACTAGTTTGCGCATTTCATCCAAAAGCTATCAAAAGCTTAAGTAACTATTGTAGCTTAAAGTCAATATAAAAGAAAGAAAATAAGAGACAGTGTGACATACATACGTATGTGTAGCATCACTCAAATGCAATCAATACTAAATTCACCACGCGAGTACCAAAACCACACCAATATGGATTAGTACTGAAATGTGTTTGCAGTTACAATCTCCATACGAAACCTACATTTTAACGCGAAAAAATTATGCCAAACGTTAAGGAAAGCATACAAATGAAATAAAATAGAAAACTTTCACTGTTACTTTGGGTGCAGAGCGACAGCGCGTCTGAAGTCCGACGAAGCGATCAAGCGTTTAGTGAGCGTGTAGAAGAGCAACGAAATGTGCGTGAGCGCCACGGGCACGCTCTTTACACAGAATTACATTCATATAAATTTTTATAGAGATATGTAGGTATGTTTGTACATATATACCTGATGGGCAAGTGGCTCTTGCATAATTTGTGTAAAGATCATGATCACTTCTCTTTTTTATTTAATGGTTTTTTAGGTTGTCATATAATATTTTTTTTTCGCTTCAAAACTAGTTGTCAAAACATAGCTGACATACATATACATATTATATTTAATGAAAAAAATGCACTTGGAAACGTGTTGTGGTTTTCTTTTTATATCAAAATGCCAAAAAGAAAACAAAATGATATAGGATTTTAAAATAAAATAAATTAAAAAAATATGGAGCAAAAAAAGCAATAAAAAAAAACAAAATTATACATAAATAAATTAAATTAAAATTAATATAAATAAATAATACATAAATTAAATTGAAAAAAATAATACAAAAAAATTTAAATAAAACAAAACAAATAAAAGAAATAAAAAACAACGAAACAAAGTAAAATTAATTAATTTGCATTAAAATGATATACAATAAAATAAAACAAAACAAAACCAATTCAAACAAAGCAAAATATAAAAAATATAAATGAAAAACAAAATTAAAGCAAGAACAAGACAACATGAAATATATTAAAACAAAATAAAATTAAAATAAAAAATATAAAGAACTTTAATAAAATAAATTAGGTAAATAATATTTAACTTAATTATAATAATATTATAATTAAAACAAAATAAAATAAAGATTATACTAAATTAAAAAAATTTAACGCAAAAATAAAAATTAAAATACGACAGAAATATTTATAATAGCAAATTAATAAAATAATATAAATTATAAATAAAATTACTACTAAAACACATGAAAAAATATTTAAAAAAGGTAATAAAATATATTAAATTATAAATAAAATTAATTAAAATATGATAAAAATATATAAAATAATGTAAGCAAGTTAATAAAAAAAAATAAAATAAATAAAAAATATAAAAAATATAATCAAATAAAATACGATAAAAATATATAAACTTATTTGAAAAAGGTATTAAAATAAAATAAATTATAAATAAAACTGCCCATAAAAATACAGAAAAAAAAATTTAAAAACGGTAATGAAATTAAATACATTATAAAAAATTCAATTAAAACACGATAAAAATATATAAAATAATGTAAGCGAGTTAATGAAATAAATTTTTAATAAAATTAATTAAAATACGATAAGAATATACATATAAATTAATATGAAAAAAATATTAAAATAGAATAAATTATAATATAATTTAAATTAATTTAATTATAATATAATGTAAATTAATTAATTTGTGATAAAAATATATAAAAAAGGTATTAAAATAAAATATGTTATAAATAGAATTAATTAAATTAATAAAATAAAATAAATAATACATAAAATTAAATTAAAAAAAAAAACCTAAAATAAAATGAAATAATGCAATAAAATAAAATTAACTAAGAAGCTAATAAAATAAAAATAAACTAAAGGAAGATAACTTAATTTTAAAAGAAATAATAAAATAATTTGAAATAAAATATAAAAAGACATAAATAATAATAAAATAAAAAATAAAATATATTATTAAAAATAGAGTAAATATATTGCAATGAAAATGTTAAAAAAAATGAAGGTAATTCAAGAAAAGTTAAATAATTAAAAAAAATAACCTTACAAACATTTGTTTAGCAGATAATAGCCTTTAATGCTGTACAAATAATTCAATATTAAACATATTTTCTCAAGAACTCTTAGCAATTTTCAAAATTTAGTATTAATTTATAAGCCATTAAGGTAACATTAACAAGCTTGGCGCACGCTCTTAAGCACTGTGCGCTTAGCAACAAAAATAGCAAAAATACCGTGGTCATAGATAAACGTTTTATTGCTGGATTTTAACTATTTTTAACAAAGTAGTGGTAACTAAAATTGGTATAAACAACAAATAGCATGCAACTAATACGAATGGTATAGTATTTAAATGTATGTTTGTATGTACGTACATCCATATGTAATCGTACCAATCACTATTTTGGGCAAAGTCAAGTTAAATATTGTTACACTTTAAAATGCTGCAATGCCCCAAAAAAAAAAAAAAAAATTACAAGAATATGAATTTTTTTCAAAAAAAAAAAAAAATGTAAAAATAAATAATAATAATAAATGCGGTCAAAATACACATACGATACATACAGTTTTTCGCACGAATAATTAAAATAGCAAAACAACACTTTTAAAATAAATTTTTGAGAACAACAAGAAATATTTTACATTTTGCAATTTCATTATTTACCGTTTATATTCCGAAAATTGTTTATTTTCACTTTAATTTTAATTCTGCTCACTGCCAAGTGATGAATTGGCGTTATTGTATTTATTTTGCTATAAACAAAACAACAGAGAGATAGACCAACAACTGCAGCTTAGGAGGTGTGATGATTAAGCGTTATAATACTTAGAATTGGCATACGCGTAATTGTTTTATTAAAAAAAAAAATCAATTTAAGCAACACAACTCACACAAAGTCTACAAACAAATCTGTACCGTACACTTGGAAATCGTTAAAGAGACTGATTTCAAAATTGCTTGCGCATTGGAAGCGTATGCGTTTTGGTAGCGTTTTTTGAAAAAGTGCTTGAAGTTTTTGTTTTTTTTTTTAACTTTTTCTCATTCTTATTTTTATTGCTTTGGGGTTAATGTATTAGCCCCGGTGATTGCTATGCACCTTTTTGTACAATTGGCTTGCGTACAATGAATACAGTTGAGTGAGTTTGTTATCGTTCGTGCCCACCTAAACACTTGCATATTCAAATATGAAGCTCTTTCAAATGCATAACCAGCCGACGACGGACATTCTCTGACCCACTGCTGCTACGCTGTAGCTTATCATGAGTGATCGGGAGCAAAGTGATTTGTATGTTTTAAACGTTTCCAATAATTTCTGTAATGTTTTTTTTTTTTTTTGCTTACATTTTATATTACATACATACATATGTTCTAACAATATAAATATAATAGATACTTATTAACAAATATACGGAGTATTACAAGAGGACAGTAGAAATTTTTTAAATTAATTTTAAATGCCAGACAGAAGCGAAAACCCGTAAATCATTAATTTTGATTAATAAAAGTTGCTTTTCATCAATTATTACTTTAAAAACAGGCGATTAGATCAGTAGACTTTTACCGTTGATAAGCTTATCAATAGGGCATGTAGTTGGTACTTACTTGGACACTAAAGTAAAAGTTTAAGTATGTGCATACAGTTGTAAATACAACTATATTTACCGCACCGATTGCATGCGATAATTTTAGCTTGAATGTGGGTTCAAAGTTTAATTGCTTCGTATGCACCACAATCACATTGTACCTTTGAATTTTATGGGTGAGCAATTGTTTTGACGATTTCAGTTTATTGTAAAGCAATGCCGAAAAAAAACCAAAATAATAATGAAAAAACCGTGTGTATTCTAGTTGTTTCACATTTGACATGCATACATACATTTATTCATATATATGTATAATATGTGCTTACTTGAAGTATAAATTAAGTTTCGCTGAAAAGTTTTTCCATACATATTTATATTGCACAACAATAGACTTGGACTCGAATGCCCAAAAGAAACTGTTCTGTTTGCTTTATCGACTGTATACAGCGATAAAATCAGTTTTTGAATTTTAAATTATATTTAAAAATAGGAAAAAGGTAAGGGGTAGGGTTAGAGGTTTCTCGTTTCTTTAAATAAAACAAAATTATTATTCGAAATTTAAGCTTCTTCGTATTTTCTTGATAACTTTAGGACAGACATTTATTCACTTGTGTGTTCTACGCAACTGCCAGTAAGCTCTTATAAGGTTTTAATCATTGCTTTTTCTTAGTAACTACATGTTTCGCTTATTAAGCGTTAAACCAGATTTACATTTATCGATTTTAAATTAATTAGGTGTAAACAAAATTTATAGTAAATAATTGCATAATCACACAATTGGGTTAGTTTAACTCCCTTAAGTGTTGTTGTTGTTGTAACCGTAAAAATATTCCCCAAAGCACTTTTTGGGAAGTGAGAGTCCCACACCGGAAAAAAATCTAGGTCGTTCCGGTATAAAGACCCGACTGTCGCGGGAAGTATTGAATTTTAGTCGCCTATTGATTGGTTGAACCACTGACCCGCAGGGGGAAACACCCTTTAATGGCACGGAGCTATTAAAAGTTTAAACAGCGATTTTGCTAAAGTTATTAAATAAGAAATATGAATAAAATGTAACGGACTTTTTCGTTTGAAATCAAATATAAGGTATACAAATATTTATTGAAAAAAAAATAACTAAACTTAAAAATTAAATTAAAAGTTTATAGCTATTCAGAAAGCAATCTACAATGAAACCCAGTTTTCATAGTCTTTGAGAGAGTAATCCTCTGCTTGTTTGGCGTTCATGTCAAAACAATATACCAAAATGCCCAGCCCCTGTTGAAATACTTAGAATAAGTATTTATTACCTACATATGTATACATACATATATACACAGACATACACGTACATATCAATAAATAATTTCTAGACATTTAAACATATGTGATTACCACGAAATGGAAAGATTATCGCCTGAACGTTTTGTGCTTACTCATAACTTTCACAGCACGCGCATACTTTAAGACTTTGCACTGACGTTAGAAAAAGCATTTTTCGTTGTTGTTGTAGGTGCATATTTCAAATTTCGTAATTATAAGTTAGCATTTCATGTGTATTCACATGTTTACATATGCAAGTGCAAGTATTGGAAAATTATAAATAATTAAATCATCAATGAAAAACGTAGCTGTATGCATATCAAAAAGCAAATTTCGATTTTTCTTGTTATTATTGTTACAGTGGCCACATGCGAAAGCCTGTAAAAGGATTTTTATAATCCTCTAGGCACATAAACTTGATATATGCACATAAGTATTAAGTCTCAATTACAGACGCACTCGCTTTATAAGCACAAATAATTGCAAACTTTTTAAACAAAAGTATAGGTTGCTTTATTACATCAGCACACTATTTTATACATAATTTTGGATCACACCATTTGGTCGACTTTCTTCATTCTTGTGGCGGAATTAGTGGATAATTAAGAAGAAAAAAACTTTCACTCGATGAAACATAACACTTACATGCCTTTTATCTCTGATTATAGGGTTTAACGGCTGCACTTTTTTTACGAACACCAGTCAATATTATTTTAAATATATATGTATAAAAATATTAACTCTTATGGCTAGATTCTGTTTTATTTTAGGGAATGGTATTCCTTTTCACTCTTCTGGAGCAATTTTTTTTAGCCGCCGTCGTGTAATAGTGCAAAAGCTGATTTTGACAATTCTTTTCTTTTCTCACAGCTGTTCGGAGACGGTGGCACTCAAACTGTGTTGGTCATGCGATATAAATGCAAAAGTGATTTGAACATCTCTTGTCGTTATTAAATGTAAGCAAACTCTTTAATTATTATTTAAATTTATTAAAAAACTAATATTATCCTTGGTTAATTCATATATAAACGCAGTTAATCTTTTATTATTCAAATATTTCTATTTAGCGAAAGCCATTTGGTTTGACATTCTCAATCAGCTGATTGACAACTTACAATTCGCCACGATTTCCAAGTTAACACATGTAATTTAGACATTTCTTTAATTGTTTAGTTGTTAATAAAAAATATGTTAAGAACGCTTTTTCGGTTAACTCCAGCGCATAGTGTGCTGCGTCAACACTTGCAGCTTTCACAATGCACAAATAAATTGCTGTCAGCCTGTAGTTTAACTACATCTGCAGTTTCACGTAATTGCACCAAAATAGCCGAAACTAAGACTGTCGAAAACGCGGATCAAATTACCAAAACACATAATAATCCATTAGCGAAAACGAAACCATCATATGACACTGATGAAGCTACCAATAAGATTCCTCCACCAACTGGTGAAGAAGAGCGTGCAAAACTTTTAAAAGTCCTACAGCTGGAAGTAGACATCGCACATCAGGAAGGCAAGCGTGTACCAACATTAGAATCAATCACAGAAGAGAACTGGTTACACATACTTACGTTGCCCTCAAAGTCAGCACGTTTTAAGTATTATGGCTATTTGTGGCAAGTGGAGGTGAAAAGGCAGGCAAAAGAACGTAAGAAGGAAGAACGCGCCGTGCAAGTGCTTGAGCGTAAAGAAGAATTGCGAAAACAGCGTGAGGAGACTGATCACATCATTTATGGTTTGGGACACACTTCATTCTTTTTGCGCATCTACGATTCGACCATAAATAATTTTCAGAATAACAGGTGAACATAATGATTATGTATGTATGTATGTATATTGAAACTTCACTGTTTCTTAAAAATCTAGATTGACCCGCGCCATGCAGTTCTCGCCTAAAATTGTGCTAGATTGCTCTTATGATCAGAACATGACACGGCGAGAAGCTTTAAATGCGGCCAAACAATTAATGTTGTGCTTCGCTGAGAATCGCGCACACGATGATCCCTTCGATATGCATTATTGCAATGTAAATTTGGAAAGTGTATGTTCCAAGGCTCTGAAACGTTACATACCTACCATGTTGAACCCAGAATTTCCAATGAATGTGCACGAAAAATGCTTTACCGAGCTATTCCCCAAGGAAAATCTTGTCTATTTGACACCACACTGCCGCACAGATTTGGAAGCCTATAATCCGGATAGTGTTTACATAATTGGCGCCATGGTGGATACAGTGAGTATGTGACAATAACTATATGTATCAAGTATACTAATATTTCCTTTCATAATATCAGGTCAACAACGAGCCACTCTCATTGGCCAAAGCGAAACGTTTGGGCATACGCATGGCACGTCTACCGCTAGATCGCTACCTACAATGGGGCTCAGGTTCTGGCAAATCTCTGACGCTAAATCAAATGGTTAACATCTTACTCGATTTGAAAACGACTAAAGATTGGGCACAAGCTCTGAAGCATGTGCCACGCCGTAAGCTGCTCGATATGGAATCAGAAGGGCAGCAGCAAAAGCGATTGCTTGAAAAACGTGCTAATCGTTTGAACTTTAATTTAAATGATGTACTAGACGAGAAGCGGAATAAGGGACGGGAGGAGCAAAGGCAAAAAATAAGAACACACATGAAGAATACGCCATTCGATGTAGACGCATGGGGCGCGAAGAAGAAAAATAGAAACTCGAACTAGTAGTAAAGTTTTTTTATTTAAACATATGTATATATATTTAAAGAAAAAATATGTAGGGATAGCTTCATAAAAGTTAAGTTAACGGGAAGTTTAAAAAAATGTGAGTTGAAGAAAAATAGCATTTTATTAAATTTAGTTATTGCTCTGAAGCTTTTCGCTGATTTTCTTAAATTTCAAAATGCGGTTTTTCGAATTCAAAACCTTGTAGTTGATAACCGGCGTTAGGTTGAGTAACTTCGCATATGCTTTTAATTTATCCTCAAACTCCTTCACCACCTCCTTACGTGCCACAGTTAATAATTTACTCTCCAAAATGAGCAGTGCCTTGTCGCGCAGCACCTCGGCGAAATTGCTTTTTAGAAATGGAAAATAATTGTGACCCACAAAAGCGAGATCGAAAAAGTTACACCAGTTCTCATTAGCCTGTACATTTTGCAGTGTAAAAATGTCATCGGCTGAGAGAAAAAACACCTTACATTGCTCCACATTAATCCATGGTTTATCGTAGTCACGCATGCCGTCCAGATCACACTCGTCATAGGAAAGGCGCTCACCCATGAGCAATTTCACAGAACCATATTTGCGCGAAATCGCACGGTCATGTATGTAAGCGGTGCGAGTTTGCAGCTCGTGAAAGTATTCGAGCAGATTACGTTCGGTGATATCCGTGGCACGATAATCATTATCGCCATGCACAGAGTTCATTATCTGTTTGTCACCCGTATGCAGACCGAATGTGCAAAATGGACCGGTTTGTATGTCACCCGCATAGCCACGATGCAGATACTTTTCGCCATTGCGCACCAAACCGGTGACGAGTGTTTTATTCGGCTTGCACTGCTCATATTCGGGATAAGTAAAAGCAATGCCAGTCTCACGCCAATAACGGTATTCCTATAAAAAGAAATATAAGTAGAAATTGTTAATAATATCGCCATGCCTTGTATTCACCTGCGGGCATATTTGCGACGCATCTCTATCTTTCAGCACCATATTCAAATCCCAGTCGAAGGCGCCTTCACGATAATCATAGCGTGTAGTCAACAGTCTACGTACGCGCTCGGACCAATACTCTTGCACATTGAAGACATAACCCTCACGCGGCAGCAAAAAGTTGAAAGCATTCTCCAAACCATCCCGCTCACGATATCTCAAACCTTCAATATTCAACTGCGGCGCCAACCTGTGCAGTAGCTCATCATCGGTGACCATTTTCAGCATTGTCTTCGATTTGCCCATCAAATATTGGTGCGTTGGTGGGCGCAGTAGGGTATTGCCATAGACGTCCATGAAGAGATGCACTTTTCTTATTAAATTATAAGTTCCTGGATTCTCGAGCGCTATACCGAGTAATAGCATATTTCGCGCAACGATTTCTATGCAACCATCAAGCAGGTAGAAATTTACGCGACTGCCTTTGTGTTGGTACATTTTGGCCATAGTTTTGATGACATGTCGTGGATCGCCAGCACCGAAGAGCAGCACGTTGAGTGTTCTACCCGTTGATGGTGCGTCGTCAGCAGCGCCATCTTCTTGTTCTCCATTTGGTAACCCCTCTTCATCTTGCTTTGCTTCCTCAACATCGAGGGTGTGCAGGCTGTCTTCATTTATATTTGCATTTTCCTGGTTTTGTGCTTCCTCTGTGATTGTCTGCTCTATTTTAAATGCTTTGCAATATTCTTGATAGAGATCAAGCGCTTCACTTAGACCCCAAAACATTGTGTTTAGCTGACAAAATCCTTTCAAGTCGCTTTTATTTTATTTCGAAAGTACAAAATTTTCCTTAATGTTTTACATACATTATTAAGTTGCTATGGCTTGATTGTTCAGTTGTTAGGCAACATGCATTGCTGTTTGGCAACATTTTGGGGGTAAAATTCAGTTTTTCTGCTTTGTTTTTCTTAAAATAACAAGAAATGTTTACTTTAGCTATTATTTAAAATCGATTTTTTATAACTTGTAATATCATAATTTTTATTATACATACCTAGAAGCTGCAGCCTAAAACTATGCAATATTTTTGGCGTCACTTTAAATACTGAAACGTAAAAATGGGAAAAAAACGTCAAGTATACGCGCAGGCTTACCCTTTAGCAGATCACTCAGACGAAAGATAGCAAAATAAAATAAAATAAAATAAAATAAAATAAAATAAAATAAAATAAAATAAAATAAAATAAAATAAAATAAAATAAAATAAAATAAAATAAATTAAAACATGAAATAAAATAAACAAAAAAACTAAGATAAAGTAAAATGATAAAATAAATTAAAATAAAATTAAAAATAAAAATAATAATGATAATATAAAATAAAACAAAATTAAATGATATTAAATAAAATAAAATAAATTAAACTAAATTAAGTTAAATAAAATAAAATAAGAAAATAAATTAAAGTAATATAAATTATAATAAAAAAGAAATTAACAAAATTAACTATAAAACTTAAATAAATTTGAAAAAAAAACATATTTAATACAAATGAAATAAAAAAAAATACAAGACCAAAATAAAAAGTAAATTATAATAACATAAAATAAAGCAAAATAATATTCGATAACATATAGTAAATTAAAACAGAATAATATAAAGTAAGAGAAAAAAATAAAATGAGTTGGAATAAAATAAAAAGTTTGGAGCCACAGTAACTCCATCAGCAATAAATTTCTTCCAACCAGCGTAACTTCAAAGAGTCTTGGCAAGCGGAAAGCCATCTCCACACGCTAGATATTGAGAAACAAGCGCGTAAGTGGCAGCATACAGACAACTTACAAAAGTACATTGTGTTTTGGATATAAAAATGTTGATGTGAAATGCTGCTTTGATTTATTCACAGAACAATTGAGGCACCAATTGATTGTTTCTCCTTGCGTATGTATATATGTAATTTATAAGCTGTTGCGTTGCCTCGCACGAAAGTGGCAAACTGCAGCAACGCGAATCGCACAAAATCACCGTTAAAAGCGAAAGCGAATGAATGATGTACTTTTGGGGCTGCGAATTAGTGAATGAGTAAATGTTGTTAAATACTCGTACATATTGTACATACATACATACATTTATTAGTAGTATTTGCGGCTGTTGCTGTTGTTGTTGTTGTTACGTGCGGTTGCGGCTGTTGCAACTTATTAAAAATTATTGCATTCGTCGAAAAGTACATAAAAATATTGAACATAAAAGAAATCGGCATCCTTTGCACTTTGCGCCTTCGCTACGCCACGCCACACCGAGATGCCATGCCACAATGACAACAACAACAATGGCAGCAGCGGTAGCAGCAATGCTGAGCAACAAGCAGTCAAGCAGCCAGTGGCAGTGGCAGTGGCAGTGGCCGTCTGTGCAGCAGCAACAATTTCAGCGCAATGAAATTAAAAAAAAAAAAGAAAGAGAAGAAGAAGAAGAAAATGAAATCATAAATACTTAGTATGCAATGTTTCGGCTGTGAAGTAACGAATTAAATCCAATCGAGTGAACTTTGTAATAAATCTGCCACTCGCCATGCTAAAATTTACATATTCCTCTTTGTATGTGTGCATGAATGTATGTATGTAAATCAGTCAATTCGTTTAGCAAATTATTTTGGTGTGACCATGAACTGCTTACGCTGACATATACAAGCGGGAGAGCGACTTCCATATAACTACAAATACTTAGGAGGGTAGACTCATAACTTCTTAAATTACAGTTAAGTCTTTTAGAGCAAATAAAGATTTTCCCAATTAGATCTGGAAACTGCCTTTTGAAGATCGAAAGTCAGTTGACTTCAGATAGCTGTGGGTCAAATTATATGTTTCAGTATTGGATCCTCAAACCGCTCTCTCTCTCTGCCAGATAAATAAGCTGTATTATTCTGCTTGGTTGGCTGACAGAGGTAGGTTAAGAGCTTGACCGTAAGCGGCCATGCCTAAACCATTGAGAAGGTTCATTGTGCTTCCCTGTATATCCGCACTCCGCGTTCGGGAACAGTGCACTCGGAAGAGGTGTCGTCTCAATCGCGAAGGCAGTACTCCAGCGTTTCGATTTTACTTTCCTTAGCAGGAGGAGGTGATATCTCAGGCCTAGATACCCCATCAATACATCCATCAGTATGCTAAGATGTCTTTTGCTTCATAAAAGTAACAGTTGGGTCTGTAAACAATCCATACTGCTCCACAATAATTTCTTGGTACCTTCTACGTTAGAAGAGTTCCAAGACATTAGGTGTACCTCCATGGGGTACTGCTTTAAGAAATATTTAACCCAAACGAAGCATCTGAGGCAGTCAGCGGCGCTAGCTTGATCCAACTCGTCCACCATGTCATTGCCTTCTAGATCCGTGTTAGTTTGTAAATGAGCTCTTTGCAGGTTCTAACGCATTTGGACTTTGTGTTGATTCCTTTAATCGCCTGGGTTAGAAGATTGAAACAAATAAGAGCATATCTACTGAGCTTGATTGACTTATTAACGCTCATAATTATTCATCGTCTAAATTATAAGATTTCCGTATGCAGGGCTTAAAAGATCGATTGGAACGTGGGCTAATTGGCACGTAGTGCCATCCTGTTGAAACCACACGTCGTCTATGTTATTCGATTCAACATTTGGAAGTAATTTCTGAGTAAAGCACAGTCACGATGGGCAGCTCCTTCCCAGTTTTCGAAAAAACATGGACCATAGTTGCCGCCGGTCCATATGCCACCCCAAACAGTCGATCGTTGAGCATACGTAGGCTTTTCTATTGCTTCGAGTGGATCTTCTGAATCTTAAATGCGTCAGTTTTGCTCGTTGACGTACATACCGTGGTCAAATTGAGCTTCTGCGGAACAGATGATTTTTTGGAAAGAAATTCTAATCTTCTGCCAAGTGATCTTCATCCCCTTGAACGAAGCGAAATCTCCACGGATGATCATGAGGCTTCAGCTATTGGACCGATAGGATACTCCATACCGAAATATTTCTGCGTTAAGGATTGCCTATTCGAGCACACTTGAGCTAGATCAGCATAATTATAGCAATTATATTGAGCTTTGCTTTGAGGTCGAAGGCGATATATCAAGGTTTTCAGGGCAATCCTGGTTCTCAGCAGAGTCCATTTTTATATAGAAAAGTATTTGATTTCTTTCGGGGGAAAGACATAACAAAAGAAATCAAACTGCAAATAGGAAGGAGAAGAGGCTTGGCTAATGGCTAAACAGTTAACAAAAGTTCAAGCTACAAATCTAAAATAATTTCTCTGCTAGAAAGCAGGTCGAACCAGCGAAAGACGTAGGAATGTGTTGGGAGCAGGAATATACCAGAGTTTCCAGAGTCGTGGAGTGGTAAACCTCGCGTCCTGCCATTCTGAAAGCCAAGCTTCGAGTACTGTTTCGACTAATATCCATGATGGAGGAGCTCGGTAGAAAATCGCTTCAGCGATTACAAAGCGCCAATTCTTATTAATTGTCGTCGGCCCTCTATTGGGAATGTCAAGCGCTCCGAGTGTATTTCTCGATTGAAAACCAAAGCTCCTCGTAAAGGTTCATCGGCCTTTCGGAGGTGTCTTAGTATAAATTGTAGGTTCTTCCATTTGTTTGATAAACATCAAGATGCACACCACAAACTGAAGTAGGAGCATCGGCGAAAATCTAAACAACGGTTACAAAGCCCCAACTAGAGAATTTCCAGCCGACAGGCTCTAAAGAGCGAGTTCTTTTTCGTTTCATATGTTAACTCAAAATAAAAGCCAAATGGAGATTGCAATAATGTACCCAAGATACTGTGACACACTTGCAAGGTCTGGAGACATAATCTCGCTAAAATGATAGCCCCTTAAAGAGCCTGATTTTTTGGAGACTCACACCTTAACGCTGGGCGTGCCACGAATTGATTTCTACAGGCGTTTCTATCATCTTTGTGAATGTTACAGATTCTGAGGGCTTAGTGGTCTTTAAGAGAGCGATCATAACCGTCTTGGTCGAGCACACAGAAAATACCTCAACTTAACCTAGAAAATACAGATAGAAATTCAATTCAAACAGAAACATAACCTCAAAATATATTTCATTAAAACACAAACTAACCTTACACAACACTCATAATTATAAGGCATTTTTTACTTTTTATTTTTAATTTTTTAATTTTTATTTATTTTGTTATATTCAAATTGCAATTTGTTTTGGTTAATTACATTTGATTATTTACATTTTCGAGTGCAAGCAAAATGCCTTACACAACAAAAGCAAATAATAAATAATAATCATAATGATTTGCAAAGATTTTAAATATATGTATTTATTTTTTTATATTTGTATACATACACATATATATACATACGTGTATGAGTGCTGCTTAAAAATATTAGAGAAATAATGAAAAGGTCGAACAAAAATTATACAAAGTATAAAATATGTACTATGCCTCAACGTCACAATGGACTTTGTTATTAATACATATTTCCACATATACATACCTATGTACATATGTACTTCGTAAATATATTACATTACAAACCATTTTATTGCCTTTCAACCTTACGCTATTCAACCGACTGACTCTCCGTCAAGTAGTGATTATCATGTAAATTATTGGAAAAATTTTCCATGTCTGACTGTCAGACTGCACAGCTCTACCACGTTAAGCAGCCGCCGCCGCCGCCATTGCCGCTGCTGCAGATAGCTGACTTCGCCGCTCACCGTGATGGAATAATGGCGAATCAGCGATTTGTTAATGCTTGAAGTGTGGAATATGGCTTGGAGAGTAAGAGAGATGCTTGCAATTGGTTGGTGGAGTAAATCTTGTTGTTATTCTATATATATTATTGCAATTTTTGTTGTGTTAGTTATTTTACGTTATTTTGTTGCACGTGTTACCGCATAATAACGATGTAAACTTTATTACTTACT